AAAAAAAAATCTCTTCTTTTGGCAGAAATTGTCCTTTGACAACATGAAGTATCATTTTTTTCCCCCTCAAAGCCTTCTAAATGGTAAAGTTTAGCTGGATGAATGTCTCTAGTATCTACAACCAGGAGAAAAAAAGAAAAAAATGTGTTTCTCTCTGAAGGCTAGTAAAAAGTCTTTAGAAAACTGGTTTAGAATGGATTTGAACAGATCTTTTTTCTTACACTGCACAAAGCCTTTAATTCGTGACCATATCTTCAGGTGGGATCAGCCTACAGCAGATTCAGTTCCAATACAGGGGTTACAAGTCTTCAGTTGTAAAGCAGAAAGCAAAAGAGAGCTTTACATTTGATATTGCAGTCATCTCCATTTGTTAAGGTATTCTCAGCATCAGCTAATCCCATCCAACAGAGGTGAGGAAGCTGAAGTTTGGGGCTGGTTTAAATTAAGGATAAAGGTACCTCTTTTCGGTGACATATCTCTTTTTGGTGACATATTTATTGATATGTATTTACTTTATCATGCAGTGCAATTAAACTTGTTCACTGAGCCTAAAGCAAATTCTCAGTGAAYTCTCTAATAGCTGGGGATTGGATTGGACACTCAGGTAAACATTTTGTTACCCTGATGAAACTGTTTTTTAAGATCACTTTGTAAAAGTTTCCTCTGATCTTTCTTGTGCCTACCACATGGTCTCCTTCCCTGTCATTTTTCCCTTTACATATTAGATCCTAATGAAAATGAAATTGTCTGGCTCCCAATCAGCCTGAGCATATTTCATTATTCACACTTCCCCTTACATAGCTGACTTCTGTTGATACTTCAAACTAAAATCAATGCCATCTTCTTCAGGAAGGCATTCCGAACCAGCTGGTCTAACTAGGTGAGCTTGGCTTTCTCTGCCACCTGAAAGCTCTCTGGATGGATCTTTCTATCAATGTGGGCCACATTAATGTGTCTCCTCCATGACTCAGATACACTTCAGAACAGACATAGGACCACKACTTCTCTCTCTTTTCTGATTCTGAGGATTGAACCCAGGGATGCTCTGCCACTGAGCTATATCCCTAGTCCTTTTTATTTTATTTTATTTTTTTATTTTGAGACAGGGTTTCACTAAGTTGCTGAGGCTGGTGTTGAATTTGTAGTCCTCCTGCCTTGGTCTTCCAGCCTCTGGGATTATAKGCCTATACCACTTTGCCTATTTCTGGATGACTAATTTTTAAACCCTCAGTGCAATCTATTGTCCAGTAATTATTGAGTAATGAAGTAATTACTCATGGAGTGCATCAGTGAATATAATAGCTTTGTTGTTGTTGTTGTTGTTGTTGCCTTCTGTGACTTTCAGTTTACTGGAGAAATATACAAATGTTTTAAAAACAATATGACAATGTAAAATAAAGTGGCATACTTTTGATTTGTGATCAGGGGAATCTTTGGGAAAAGGAAATGAAACCTGAGACCTAATAGATGAGTAAAGTTACTTAATCAAGGCTTGGGGATAGAGGAGTGTTTCAAGCAGAAGAAAGCACTGTATAAAGATCTTGAGCATAAAGCTGTGTCATGATTTTTTAAATGCTCACAGTACTTTACTGAGGAGTAATGTATACCTAGTAAAATGCACCAATCTGAAGTAGTTTATACCATCTTAATGCAGTTTGAAATTTTAACATTCGTATACATTTATATTACCCCATCCAGAGGAAGATAGAGAACATTTTTATCTTCCCTCAAGTTTTTCTTGAGAAAATTCCACCCTAGGGGATAACCACTATTTGGACATCTATCACTCTATCACTCTGTGGGATGCTTTCAGACAACTGAAAGACACTCAGTGTAACAGATACAGGGAGTAGTGTGGTAGGAGAAGGAGTGAGAATGCAGTGCTGGACAGATGGCAGATCATGAAGAGCCTTGAGAACCTGGCTCAAGATGTGGACTTTGAACTCAGTGAAAAGAGTAACTGTTGGAGATCTGAGGGAGAAGTGGACATAACTGCATTAATGTGTTAACAACTGTACTAACCAAAATGGTTGAAAGTGGAGGTAAAAGAACCAGTTAGGAAGTTAATGTAATGTTCCAGGGGAAAGATAATGATAATGGGCCCARGAATAGCAAGTAGATGGAGAAAAATCAATGAGTTTAAGATGTAGTTTAAAGCTTACAGATACTCAAAAAGCATTTTTTGAAATGAACTATACTATTTTAGGAAAGAATATCACTTAGAAATCATAGTTACACTGCAACAGTTAATGTTACTAAAGGGTATAGATATTCCCCCCCAATTTAAATGCTATGTATTATTTTTATAGTGATAAAATGTATTCTTAACTAATTTATCTCATTTTTTTTACTCATAAAATGAATATTGCTTGAAATTTTACATAATACCCAGCCTAGTATTTGCCTTTTGTTTGGGAAAAAAAAATTCTGTCCTTTTCTTATGTATAATTACAATGAGTTTAAACCTATTACCAAACATAGAAATTTATGTACAAACTTATTTACAGCCTCAAAATATGACTCATTTTGCTGGCAAAAAAATGTATAGAGAAGAAATATTCCAAAGAAATATGATTTTGAACACTTCTACTGTTAAATTAGGGCTGAATTACTTAAGCAAATTAATTCTATGATAAAAATCTTGATGACATTTAATTATTTCTTAGTGAATTTCCTATCATTTGCCCAAAATAYGTTTTATTTGTTTGGATTTCAACCAAGGTAAATTCTCCAAATAGTCAGTTCTTCTTTGTTTTCACATTTTGAAAAGCTGAAGCTTGCGTCAGCGTCTTTATTTAAAGGGAAAAGCAGAGTTAGAAGGTGGTGAGGTTACTGTACTGGGTTTCCTAGCATGCAGTAACAAAATACAACAAAGTTGACTTAAAATAATAGAAATTTATTGTTTCATGGGGTGGTTTACAACATTGGAAATTTATTGTCTCATAGTTCTGAAGGCCAGAAGCTCAATATCAAGGCAGGTCCCTGCTCCCTCTGGGAGTCTGGGAAGCATCCTTTCTTCACTTCTCAGCTTCTGGTGGTGTGCCAGGACCCTCCTGGGTGTGCCTTGCTTCTGGATGTATGGCTCCAACCCYGTCTTTACCTGGTGCTCTCTCTCTGCCTGGTCTCCTCATAGTAGTTCCTTTTATAATGACATCAGAGTTATTCAATTGGAGGCCCTCTCCACTCCAGTATGACCTTCTCTTCATTTCACTAATTAAACAACAACTCCATTTCCAAAAACAATCCGAACAAGGAGGGGTTAGAATTTCACTATAGTTTTGGGGGTGAGGATACAATTCAATTCGTAGACGTCACCAAACTGATAAAAGTGAAATCTTCAGCCGGTGAAGAATCCCAAACTCTCTATCATATGTGGAAAAATAATTAATGAAGTTATGGAAATCTTGTGTGTGTGTGTGTGTGTGTGTGTGTGTGTGTGTATGTGTGTGCGCGCGCATGTTCACTCACGCTTGTGCTCTATTCTACAGACCTGGGATAGCTCTTATTCTTGGAGTCACAGAGAACAATGCAAATTATGTTTTACATTTCCTGCCTACTTCATTCCTTTTTTTTTTTTTTTGGCATGCAAAATCATTAGAATTTTCTTAGAGCATGGTATGCATTTCTGTTCATAATATCAGCACCCTATTTCTCATCCCCTTTGTCTAATGTGATTTAATACAGGACAAATAAAAAGGAATTCCTCTAATTCCTCTAGATGGCTTTTGTTTTTACATTCTGGATGAGTTGTCAAATACCAAAGTGCCTAACAATTTGGTTTAGGGTGGATTTTAACTGCTTCTTTTTTCACTTGGGAAATTTCATTTTAGACAGGTGATCTGAATAATTCAGTTACTCTAGTTCTGAATTTTCTCAGTAACCTGCTTTTTTTTTTCCACTCAATTCTTTCAATAGTACTGGACAGACATTTAATGCACATCCACTGAACAGCAAGCACAAGGAAACAGAGGTGAACTATAATCCCTACACTCAAAAGGGCTCTCCTAAAATAGCCAAGTCAAAGACTATTTTTCCTGATCACTCTTCTAATAACTTGCACACTGGTTTACGATATGTTCAAGTTTAGAAATGAGTTAGACTAAGATGATAATAAATGTATCATGGTTTGAAAAATTTATTCGTGTACTCTACTGTGCTTTTTTATGTTTTTGTTTCAGCTGAAAGAGACATCAATGTCTACTGTGGAGTGCAGACTATCACGATGAAGATTAATTTTTGCACAGTACTTTTCTCGGGGTATTCTGAAACGGATCTGGCACTGAATGGAAGGCATGGGGATTCCCACTGCCGGGGGTTCGTCAACAACAACACCTTTCCAGCAGTGGTCATTTTCATCATCAATCTCAGCACCTTGGAGGGATGTGGAAACAACTTAGTGGTAAGATTAGTGTGACACTGTGTGCTAGGTCTAGGGTCATAAATTTTAAAAAATCTCACCATTTCATGAAATAATCAGAAGCCTAGTCTATCTTCCAAGAAAAAATTGTGATAAAACTGGACACATCACTTTCTTTTAACTTCGAAGCTTGCATTCCCAAGTATACAATTCTCCCTTTTAATATAGTTATGTTTATAGGGCCTTGAGGGTCTGAGGTCAGCTGTGCCTCTCTGAACATTATTCTTTGGAGTGAATGACAACCATGGGCATTTCTCTGAAGTTTTTCATTAGCTCTGTGCTTCATGGAAGTATGTGGTCATGCAGTGTTGCAGTGAGTTTGGCTGTGAACCACTTGGCCTATTGCTGGAGTGACCTTGTTCTGAATGATTAAAGATAAAATGAGGAATTTGAACTCTTCTTTTACTCTTCACTTTCATGTTCACCAGTGCTTTATGCAAGAGGGCTGCCAGTGTTGCTAGTGTGAAGTTCTTTCTTGTGTGGGACTGTCCTTAGCATTTCAAAATGTTTAGCATAGGCGCTCGCATTCTTACATGGAATGTTACTAGCACTCTTCTCAATCATTTTGCAATTCAAAAGAGTGCTTTGAGGTTTTCCATACCAAATGAGAACTAGCAGTCTACACCATTCATTTATTTGTTCATTTGTTGAACCAAAAATAGAATTGAATAAGGAATTATTTTTCCAGAGAATGAAAGTTAGTTGAAGTGAATGTATTGTGATGGGGGTATTAGTCACACTGAAATTAGGTTTGTACTATTTTTTTTTACTTTTCTTGTTTAGATTATTGGTAAATCCTACCAAAGACAGAAACTGGGATGTAATGTGCATGACCACTTTGCCCACTAAAAAAGGAGGCCTTGGCTTTTACTCTTCACAATTATTGTTTGGGATTAAAAGGGAAGCCTTGGTTATTCTGAGGGTATGGTTTCTAAGATTTGGTGGGAGCTGGAAGACAGGGAATTTAATTGAATCTCCTTCTTTATCTTTTCCCAAAGGGCAGTTAGAATATTGTGCCCACGACGGCTTCCAAGCCTGCAGGTTGGGTATTGCTGACTCTTTTTATTAAAAACGTTTATTCATCTCTCTGAGTTGTGTGCAGAGAGGTTATGAAGTGGGCCTAAGGGAGAGAGAAGCAGGTTGATTATTGCATGTCTTGTCTCCTTGTGGAGGGAGGGAGCCCACTTGGAGACATGGAGACAGCAGCACTCCCCTCCTCCGACCACCCTCTAAAGCCTTTCCTAAGGATTCAAGTCACCTTGTCCGGCTGCCTAGAAAATAATCCAGGAGAAAAACCAGGAAAACTGTTTCTTTCTGGGTGTGCTTTCACATTGTTTTTAAGAGCTGAAGAATTCTGATATAAAAATTACTCTGTGTGTATGTGTTTGCAGACAGAATAGGTATACTTAGTGATCTAGGCCAACAGTGGGAAAAGAGGAAGTTTTGCTTATTTTTCATCTTAGATGTCACCAGCTTTGGAGTCTGTTCCAAAGGCACTCTTCCATGAGAAAAATTAAGTAGACTAGTAAATCACTGGATTAGAACAAAAATCTTTTCATTCACAAGCATTTTTGCCCCATGGATGAATTAGCTAGATGATTGCCTCAGATTTCCCACGTGCTGTAAGGTTCACACGTGAAGTTTATCTAACCTATTGCTGGAAATTAAGTATTGCAGGTATCAGTTAGAACTGGTGAAAATACTTCTTAAGTGCCCTATTGTATTTGTCATGGTGGGAGAAGAAACTATATCTAAAGTTCTCTGGTCTGAGGAAGATCAGAAATATTGATTATTCCTAAATTGCTGGTTCTTTGATTTTAGTAGGATTCTATAATAAAAAGAAGGTTGAGCAGTCCCAAGAAAATACACACAGAGAAAATATCTTCCTCTTACTACTGGAGTTCATTAACTCTTTCCCCAGAAGGGAATCAGAATCTCCATGAACCACAGAGGAAGAATGCTGGGAAGAGTAATCCTCAGAAAATGTGGGACTTTTTTTATGGGTTCAGAAATTATTTGTGAGGCCCACAGTGCTGGTGCTGGTTTGAAAATGTGAAAGTGAACAGGACCCAGATAGTCCTGCTCACAGAGAGCTCTGGGGATGTGGAAGGGTTCTGCCCAGTGATCAGGATGCTCAGGTGCTGTACCTGCTGCTGTGATAGAAATAAACCCTATAGGTGGGGGAGTCAGGGGCAGAGGATGTTAACCTGGGAAGATGAGATCTTGTGGAGTAAGGTATAGCACGGCCAAGTCGGGAGGGGAGAGGCAGTACAAGGCCTGTCCACAAAGGCCAGAGCAACAAGAGCTTGGGACAGGAGCAATATTGCTAAGAGTGGGAGCCTGCAGACAGGACACTAATGTGGAAACAGGGTACAGTTAATAGGGAGGACCATTCACACTATGCCAGAATGTCTTTTATTTACTCATTTTAGCTTTCTGGATATATAATCTTTTTCCTCTCTCATTAATAAAATATGAGTCAAGTGTCTGGCAAATATGAAGGTTTCATTTAGTTAAAAGATGTTTAATCACTTATAAATAGCATTATGTTGTATAATTTAAAAACCACAGCATGTTACAGTAGAACCAGAAGCTAGAAATGATTTCATCTAATGTTTCATCTGCATATCAAATGTATCACTTGTGATACATTTATATATAACCATTGAATCACTGAACTTGGTCTTCCATTCTCACAGGTGTCCACAATTCCTGGTGTCAGTGCTTATGGAAATGCAACTTCAGTACAAATAGGAAATATTTCAGGATATATTGATACTCCAGACCCACCAACAATCATCAGCTACCTACCTGGACTTCTTTACAAATTTAGCTGTAGCTATCCACTGGAATACCTGGTTAATAATACCCAGCTTGCTTCGTGAGTTCATGTTTTATTCTTGCTTTCTCATATTATCCTTGTGTTTGGGTCATTTTTTATTTTTGAAAGACTTATAAAGTTAGCAGGATTTGTTGAGAATAGCCAAACTCAAACGATGTAATGAAAGCCATATTAAGTCTGATATCCATCCACTGATCTGTCTGCCTGTCTTATATTTTCCTTGTTCCAGTTGCCTAAGATCCAGGGCTACTTGAATAGTTCTGACGGCTCTGTGGTGCCTCCAATATGTAGGGCATTTGGTTACCACATTATTGGTCCTACCTGTCCTTCTGCTATACGCTCTCACTCTTGGGTTCTGCTGCTCCAGATGACAGAGTCTCCATGACTTTTACAGAGGTGCACAGGCACCTGCAATTTTCCAGGAATGTGGCATGGCCTACAGACAAAGAAAAAATAATTAAGAAAAAAAAATTACTGATGTAGAAGGAAGCATCTCACACTCAGTCCTCCAACCCTCACACAGAACACATTCCTCAGCTTTACTATCCACAGAAATCCATTCATTTATTCAATCAATATTTATTATACATCTATTTGCTGATGCAGTGTTCTAGCCATGAACAAGGTCAAGCAAAATTCCTGATCTCAGAAACTTCTAATGAAATTGATAAAAGTGCATTTGTATCAGATTCAAGTTCTATGAAATAGTTGTTTTTTCTTTTTCTTTTTTATTTTTGCAAAAAGTCTCATATACATAATGCAAAATATAAAAGATCAGTTTATAAATAGAAAAGATCATAAAGGACAATCTGTCCTTTACTTGGTCCTCTTTGCTTTTTGATTATCTTTTGATGATTTAAATGGTACACCTACTCCAGGCCTACTTAAAAGTATGTCAGACTTACTCTAAGATTTTCATTGCCTGAAATCTAGCATTCAGGTTTATAACTAAAACTTCTAATTTAAAATCCTACCATTGCTTTCCCTCTTCTAAATCTGTTTTAGGTCCTCAGCTGCTATTTCTGTGAGAGAGAACAATGGAACATTTGTCAGCACTTTGAACCTGCTCCTTTATAACGTAAGTTGATGGGTGAAGGATGTTATTTTGCTTTTCATTGTTTTGAGGAGCCATTTATGTGAATGGCTTTTATATAAAAATCTACTGAAAGTCATATTAACCCTACTATATTTTGGTAACATTTGCCCACCTTTACCTCTATTTTCATATATCTTAGTCATAAAGGTACAGTACAAATTCCATTACATTTTCTAAACATTGATAAATGATTTAAATTTTATATAATGAATGTGATTCTGTAATAGTTTATCCAAGTGTCTTTCTACATTTCTTTGTATATTTTTATTTATGTATATACCTGTGTGTATAGCCATGGTCAGGGTCAAGATTTGGGGAACAATATTTTTGTGATACAGATGTATGGAAAGTCTGAATGATACTTCTCTTGGAGACATACTTGGTGATGAATGTGTTAATATTTTCAATATGGGTTTTGGTGATGACAATTCTGTCACATTTGAAATAATTTGGATTGACGACACAGCATTGTCTAAACTTTTGTCATGTAAATATCGATAGTGGCAGCAAAATGTGAAAAATACATGGATTTCTATTTATAACTGTAACATTAATCCCCCAAATGTTATTTTCATGTTGATTAAAAATTTTTATTCATACATTTTAAATGCCTGATTTAAATATCAATTTTTCAATCTATCAACCAACATTTTTGTAAATTATGAATCTGATTTTTGCATTATTATTCATGTCATCATGGCACTGAGTTATAATTCATGCAACTGATTTAAAAGTCAGTGCTTTATACTTTGAATATAATGAGCTATAAATATTGTAGTAGGACATTTTCCAAAGGCATTTAAAAAAATAGTGTTTATAAGTTTGTATTCTGACACCACAGAGTTCTAAACAACAAATTAAAATGTGTTGGAATGAAGATTGCCTTTCTGTCATTTCTAAACTTTCCTCTGCAAAGAGAAGCTGCCAAGTTACTTGGTTCTATAATACTCAGTAAACATGTGCCCATATTCAATCCTGATATGGCCAAATATTTATTACTGTAGTGAGCAATATTTATGTAAATAACCTTAAATTGGAACATTTCTATTGTTTTATAAGTGTATTCTCTGAGGTAGAATTGAGGTAACTGGTTTGGATTCAATATTATTCATTATAATTGAGATCAAGATGAGAATTCCCAGTCTTTTAAAAAGTGGAACATACATCCACATGGCATTTAATGATATCCTTATATTCTGTGAAATTAAACTATCCTTTTACTAGAATAGCAGAATATCCAAATGTAGGAGTGTGGCTTCGAGGATAAGTTTATTAGAAATGGCATTGTAGCCCTATTGCTAACATGACATCAATTCAGAGTTCTCGGAATCTTGATGCTAATTAGAAGGCTATCATTCAATAATAACCTTCGTATTTTAAGTTTACGGTAAGAGGTAACCATTTTTTAAAATTTCAGATTATAAATGAAAAAGGTGGTGCCAAAATTCTCATTTTAATCAGTTTGCAATAAATTATTATTAATGGTTGAATTAAAAAAATAAATCAAACTTTAAGTTTTTACTAATTAGGTATTGAATAAAATTCAATAATTTCCAACAAACTAATTTAATTTTTTTAATTAATGGATTTTTAAAAAAGTAATTTTAGTCTTATGTAAATTTGTCCTTACACATAATTTTCTCTTTTGCTTATGTCTTGTGTTAGTGTGAAATATGTTACAATTAATGAACCAGTGGTGATGCATTATTGTTACCTAAAACCATAGTTTACATTTAATTTACTCTTCCTGTTATATGTCATATGGATTTTGTCAATCATATAATGACATGTTCATTATTGCTGCTATCCTACAGAAGTGTTCTTCTGCCCCAAACTAGTTTTTTTTTAACAAAGTACCATCATAGTATTTTGCCATGTTGGAAGACATTAAAATATTAGCAATTCACAGTAGAGAAAAATTATAATTTTACTAATTTATCCCAAACCATATTTATTATTTCTTTGGAAAATAGCATTTAGTTATTTACCCTCAGGAATGATGAAAAGTTATATTACATCCTAAATACAGCACTCTTATTCTCTGTTTTGTTATTTGGAGAGGAAAAGTTGGATCCAATTTAGATGTAGCACAATTTTTTATTCTTATGTTTACTAGAATATAGTAAATTTACTCAGTAAAATTGTATTTACAAATAGTAATAATTTATTGTCAGTGAAATTTCCATATATTAAGGTGGTTTGAGTTGAACTGTGCTCTTATGTTTGTGCAAGGTAAAAATGATTGCTTCTCTTTTGAAATGGAAAGTAAGGATGTCTTGCATTTTGAAGTGCACCTAAATCTTAGTATTTTCTGAGTGGGTGGTGAAACAGCAAATATGAAATAGGGTTGTGATAATTATGGATAGTTTTTAAAAGTTTGAAAAAACTAAAATAGATACAATTGATTTTAGCAACTGTGTAGTACAAATAAGAGTAGATAACTAGACCTCTTAGGAGCAATTACTAGATAAAAAAGAAATTATGATTCATGATTAAACTACAATGGGATCACAAATCATTTGCAAATGGCTTCACAGTATATAACTTGTATAAAAGTAAGCATTCTTTGGGACAATATTGATAAAACATAAAATGAAGCAGCAGTCTAGTTAATGAAGTGCAGTTTACTTAGAGACTTTGAAAGAGGGAACCAGAAAGATATTAAATAAATATACCAACTATCTGACATCTTTAAAGGAATTGTCATCATTTATCACAGAAATATAGGAAATAATTAGAAATACAGAAAATAATATAGAATGTTAACCATTTATAAGTATAATATATAGTTCCTCATTTATCTGGATTTATTTGGGAATGAAATGTTCTATATGAATACATTTTTTTTCAAAAGCAAAGCATACAAAGTATTGTTAACTTAATTTAAAAAATTCAAACTATGTTGCTCTTATCCCAGCCTTCTAAAGACAGTAAGCTTATATTTTTTCTTTTGCTGCAAAACAGCAATAAATTTAGAATTACTAAATTTGGGGAAAACAATTATTCTGTAACTGGAATGATTTGGCTGTTAAAATTTTGAGATTTTYATTTTTGCATTTTACAATTTTCTGTTTTTTGATTTTCAAATTATAGATGCCTCTTCTTAATGTCTAATGTACTGCTTTAATCTATTAAAGATTGGGAAGTGATATAAATAAACTCCCTAGGGTTGTCTAAAATAAAGGTAAATAAGTTAAAATAGGCCTTTTGATAAGTAATCACTAAGAACTTTGGTGCAGAAACTCTATGGCATGTATTTTGAACAACTCGGAGAATGTGTTGGTCTGTTTTCTGGTTTTCAATTAAATTTCAAATTGCCAGGTAAGTGAGTTGAGGAAAATGCAAGATTACCATAGGTTTAAGATCTACCAACCCAAAAGAAAGGGCTTAAATCAAAGCAGGTATAATTTAAAAAAACTAAGCATTAGCCTCTTTATAATCTAAAATAATGGAACACTAATTTGGATAAACTGAACATTGGCCATTGAATATTAAACAAACTGAATTAAGCCACTGTCAATTGGATATAATTTAAACACAATGGACATTAGCTATTAAACTATGGAAACAAAAAAAAAATTATGTATGGAAATCAACTTGTTACCTGAATATGGTTTAAGAGAACTTCTGCTAAGAATCAGAATTAAATGAATCCTTTTTGGAGGTTGTTGTATTGATTTACCTGTTCTTTTTTTCGTAACACTGTTTTAAGTGGTAAATGTGCTATTGTTGGGAAGCTAATGATACATTATTTATTACTTCATTATTAGGATTCAACCTACAGTCAGCAATTAATTATCCCAAGTATAGGATTACCTTTGAAAACCAAAGTGTTTGCAGCTGTTCAAGCCACTAATCTGGATGGAAGGTATTTTCAAACTTGTCTTTGTTGGCTAGAACATGTAAGTCTCCTGAGTCATAAAGTTAGCTTATTCATTTTTAAATTCAATTTAAACACTACTGTCATTGCCACACCATTTAGGCATGCTTATAAAAAGAAAGAGCAAATTACAAAGTCTAAGGGGTGACACTCATTTTATGTCATTAATTGGAAAATAACATACCTCCTTCCCATAAAGAAAGGAGGATATGACTGGAAGAGGGTGTGGGGAAATCTTAGGGGATGCCGGAATGTTCTATATTTTCATCAGAAAGATGATTAACCAGACAAACTATGACTATTTGTGAACACATTTGATTTGTATGCTTTTCCATATATATCTTACTATTTATCAACAAACAAAAGAACTATCCTCACAAGGATCTGGGCTGAAATTATATTAAACATCTGGTCAAAAAACGAAATTAGTTAGGTTTACTGTAATTCTTATAAAATTCAAAGTAATCAAAACTGAAAGGGAACTCAAAAGTTGAAGCTCTAATCTTGTCCTATAAAAATATAATCTGAAATGGTTTATTTGGGGCTTCTTGTGAGCTATTATTTAAACTGCATTCTGAAGAGATTGGTAAAATCTAGAAATTTGGTTCTTCTCTACCTTCTTTCTTTGTTTTTAATCATGAATATGTGTGATTTTTAAAAAAATTGTCTCACTGCATACAGGATGTTTTCCCCATATTAATGGTATTTGCTTCCCATTCCAGAGATGTTATGAAATAATGTACAAACTTAGTCCCACTCTGGCCTTGGGCAGGAGTATTTGCCTCATGGCTTTCTCGTACCAAGTGCCTATGGTAAATTCCCACTTCTACCCTACTGATTCTGACACATCATTTATGCAACAAACTCATTTGTTCTACTTGTTGATATAATATTCTTTGTCTTATGTTAGAGACAGTAACTTCTGGAAACAAAGTAACCTTGTTCATAGTGAAAAATGACATCTGTGTACCTGTGTAGTTCACTTTGGGGTTTCCTTCTTTCAGACTTTAACCATTTACTTGCCATGTTCTCTCTCTCTCTCTCTCTCTCTCTCTCTCTCTCTCTCTGTGTGTGTGTGTGTGTGTGTGTATGTGTGTGTGGCATTAGCCTCAACCTATTTTATGTGGGGATAACACTTAGTTTCATATTTTTAAATAGCTCAGTTTAGAAGAAAATTTTAATCAACAAGAAGCTTCTGCAATAAGAGATAACAAGTAATAACAAGTAATAAAAAATTATTCCATGGTTATGATAAGAAATTTGTTCATTTTTATTTCCCTTAGATTAATATCCAACACTCAAAAGAGGATTTTGACTCTAGATTATGTTTGCCTCTCTCTGCAGATGGAATGTCTTAATGGATTATTGCTATACAACCCCATCAGGGAATCCAAACGATGACATTCGGTATGACCTCTTCCTTAGGTAGGTGTCTTAAATTGTGTATAGATACCAAAGATCTAGTTATAGATGATTGAAATGGAAAACCTAGGTCAGACAAACAAATTTCAGGATATTGTTTTAAGCTTCTGAATTTAAAGTTTTAGATTTTGGACTTTCAGTCCTTTAAAACTATAAGTATGAAAGTTGAGAACAGTTTTCAACACAAAATGCTGATAAAGCTATTGTTGGATGAGAATTTTAATTAAGTTAGGTCCACCCAAAATGTTTTATTCATGTTTAGGAGATATGGGAATATTTCAGTATCTTAGGAAAAGCATGGTTGGATATTATTTGCAATAAGAGAAAGGCAATGGGAGGGTGTTATTTATCTGCAGCTAGACCATCTCATCATATGTCAAAAGGAGAGCAAAATTAAAGTAGTGGTCTGGATAATTTAGATCCCCAAATGCTTTATCTCATTTATCAGTATTTAATATGAAAGTATATAATATAGCCTACCACTCCTTTTTTTTTTTATCAGAGCCAATAGCTTCATTTCCCAACAGACAGTGATAGAGTGAAAGTAATCTACATCTGGGGAAAGAGGACATTGATCATAAAGCCATTCAGTCATTCCAGTTCCCTTTCAGCATTTTTTATTTGACAGAAGAACAGGCTTGAGAGTTAAGCAATGTCTTCTAAGCATGCTTATAAAATGCAGTTGGCTCAGATCATTGCAGCTTATTGACACATGATGGGAGTAATATAATGAGAAACCAAAAGAATATGTTTTATTGCCTAATCAAGGTTAAGATGATGTTCAGAGGGTATGGTCAAACTGACACTCTTACATATCCTATTACTGGAAGAGTTGATATGGGCAAGAATTTTTTGGGAAAAAAATGTTAGTATGCATCAAAAGCATTAAAGGATTTCATATTGTTTGGATCTATTTTTTATATTTTATAATATTTATGATGTTCTCACCTATCAGTGTTATTTAAGATAGTAAAAAATGGGAATTAACTGTATATTCAGCAATAAGAAAACAGCTAAGAGAATTATGGAGAACTAGCAAATTGAAAGTTCATGCAGGTACTACAATCATATAGTTATTTATTAAATGGAAAAAGATAGTTGGTCCTACTTTATTTACCCTTTCTCTTTTCATCTTCTTGATACTTCTATCCTTGGTAATATATAATTCCTTAAAATTTAAATGTATTAAAATAGGAAGGGGAAGAATTGGCACATGCAATTACATATATAGTAGGCTTTATTTAGATGATAGAAAAGACTGTAAGGAAAAACACTGAACAGTTCATAGTGGTTATTTATAAATGGTAGAATTATGCATCATTTGGTTTCCAAAGTTTCTACAATAATTAAATATTGATAATATGGAATATGGTATGAAAAGTATGAATTTAGCATGAATATTATGAATATGGTGGTAGCTTATCCCTGAATCTTCTAAAAACACACAAACAAAACTTCCCAAATGTCATTTTTAGTGAATCTAAGAAAGAAAAACCTGCAAAATTTGCATTAATATTGATAAAAAGCAGTAAAGATGAGGAGAAAATGGTGCCTAGAACCTCAGTGTTCATAAAGTGGCAGATTTCACAAAGTGGCAGCAAATGTGCCCTTGTAAAGGTAAGGGGACCACTTGAGACGTCAGGGTCCTACCTATGGGGGCAAGGATGGTTACTGAACCTGGGGAACACAGGGCTGATGGCAGAGCCTCTGAAATGAAAAATTCAGCTATGCAGTTTCTACAGTGTGGACAGTTTATCTGTCATAGTGAAATAATTCTTTAATTTGGGGAACCCTGAGGAAGGCCACTCCCATTCCATGTTTTCTTAGGAATCCTTTGAAAATAGCAGGTCCAGAGACATCCAAATCTTTCAAATACAACTGTTAAACAAATACAGCCATTTCCTACAGTATTTCAATGTAATACAAAAAAATGTTGAAAATGGCAGAAAAGAATTAAATTCACCAGAAACAAACAAAAACACAGTCAGCAAATACATAAGATTTGGAATTTAACATTCCTACATTATTTTTTTTAAATAATCAAAAATTAATCATCTCACAGATTTTTTTTTTTTTGCTGAGAAGAAACTTTTTAGTTTGAATCCATCCCATTTATTGATTCTTGATTTTAATTTTTGTGCCAAAGGAGTTTTATTAAGGAAGTTGGGGCCTAATCCCACATGATGGAGATTAGGGACTACTTTTTTTTTTCTATTAGATGCAGAGTCTCTGGTTTTATTCTTAGGTCCTTGGTCCATTTTGATTTGAGTTTTGTGCATGATGAAAGGTAGGGATTTAATTTCATTTTGTTGCATATGGATTTACAGTTGTGAGAGAAATAGCCTACATCTTGGGAGCAAATCTTTACCCCTCACACATCAGATAAAGCATTAATATCTAGGGTATATAAAGAACTCAAAAAGCTAAACACCGAAAACCATAAATAACCCAATCAATAAATGGGCCAAGGACCTAAACAGACATTTCTTGGAAGATGATATACAATCAATCAACAAATGTTTGAAAAAATGTTCATCATCGCTAGCAATTAGAGAAATGCAAATCAAAACTACTCTAAAATTTCATCTCACTCCAGTCAGAATGGCAGCTATTATGAATACAAACAATAATAAGTGTTGATGAGGATGTGGGGAAAAAGGTACACTCATACACTGCTGGTGGGACTGCAAATTGGTGCAGCCAATAGGGAAAGCATTATACAGATTTCTTGGAAAATTGGGAATGGAACCATCATTTGACCCAATTATCACTCTCCTCAGTCTATACCCAAAGGACTTACAAACAGCATACTACAGGGACACAGCCACATCAATGTTTATAGCAGCACAATTCACAATAGCTAAAGTATGGAACCAACTTAGATGCCCTTCAATAGATGAATGGATAAAAAAATTGTGGCATATATATACAATGGAATATTACTCAGCAATAAAAGTGAATAAAATCATGGCATTTGCAGGTAAATGGATGGAGTTAGAGAAGATAGTGCAAAATGAAGTTAGCCAATCCCAAAAAACCCAAATGCTAAATGTTTTCTTTGATATAAGGAGGCTTATTCATAGTGGGATAGGGATAGGGAGCAGGGGAGGTTTAGACAATCTCTATATAAGACAGAGAGGTTGTAGGGGAAGGGAATGGGCATGGAGTTAGAAATTATGGTGGAATGTGATGGACATCATTATCCAAAGTGCATGTATGAAGACATGGATTGGTGTGAATATACTTTGTATACAACCAAATATATGAAAAATGGTGCTCTATATGTATAATATGAATTGTAATGCATTCCGCTGTCATATAAATAAAAAATAAAAATAAATAAATAAATAAGTAATCATACTTATTAAGATAGAATTATAAGAACTCAGGTAAGTAAAAGGACAGAAAATGGTAAAATCATAAACATCTAAAAAGGAAATTTGGATAACCTAAGATGGAAATAGAAAAAATAAGTACATTATAGAAAAGAAGACACAATTAGAAAATATTCAAGGGAGCACAGATAAGTAGAATGCACAGCATAAAGCACAGAAGGTGAAAGTATGAAATACAAATAAAAGGGAACAAATATCAAGGATAATATAAAATGAATTAAATTACAAAACATACAAATAATAGGTAGGTCAAGAAAATTCCATATATGTGTAGTGTGCATAATTAGAATTCCTCCTAAAAAAGCCAAAATAGTAGAACAAATTATATGTAATAAATTTGTCATATATAATTCAGGAATAGTTATTATTAGTTATAATTCAGGAATTGTTTCCTAAATTAAAAGAAAACTTACATTGATATAGTGAAAATATGCTCTGGGTGAAATCAAAACTTTCATAAAGTGTAAGCTAGGGGAAATTGAGAAAGACATAGTCAGAAACACAATAAAATTTAATCTACCTCTCAAGAAACTTATTATGATGGCCTCAAATTAAGTGTGGAGAGAGAAGATCTTAATGACATTACCAATAACTTCTATGTTGAGAGGTAGTAAATTAAAAAAAATACTAGAAAATAGATGTCCTTACCACTTGGAAGTCTGAAAACTCATAACTAAGACATAATAAAAAATGGAAATAAATTWAGAAAATGTAGATTCTTTGAAAAAGCAAATTAAGTAGAATCCTAAGCTAATGTGATCAAGGAACCAAAGAATAAGTGGCAGGTATATAATAGAAAAATACCAGTGGAGGATCAACATGAAAATGAGGAGGGTGTGGTCCTTTCAGATGTCCTGATTAGAAACACCTTTAGAATTATTAATGGAATGTGATATTAGATAAGAATGGACATGCACACAAATACTACAAAACAGTGAAAGAACAAATCTCAAAACATGCGAGGGATTTAGTCTCTGATAGAGGGTACCACAGATTAGTGGGATAGACAAGGAATTTTGAAAGGGCTTTGGACAATTGATAACCATGAGAGAAACAATAGTATCGGATCTATATTTTGCTCAATATAACATGATGAACTCTAAATAGATTGTTAATTCAAATGTCAAAATACAGTTTTTAAAATAATAGAATAAAGGAAGCCTGCAAAATACCTCTAAAACTTTGAAGTAAAGCCAAACAAAAAAGTAAACCAACTTTGAATTTATTAACAAGTCAGCAGTCACTCTTCCTATTGCATAAAGAATGTATAAGAATCAGAAATACAGTGGCCAGCACCAGAATGTGGGCAAAGGATAAAAACAGTTTTCATGTAAAGGGACAAAATGGCTCTAATATTTATGAAAAGACACAAAAACTCATTCACATCTAGAAAAATGCAAGTCAAAATTATATGTGATAGTTTTGTTTCACTATCAAATAGAAATCCAAACTGGTAGCCATACGCTTTGCTGATGAAGCACTGAAGAAATTAAGATTGTTTTCATAAATTGCTGCTGAAGTCCAAAATGATATAACATTTATAGAGGACACTGTGGCAATATCTCTTAAATGGTCTTAGAAATGTATTTAATAGATAACATTTTACACATGTTCAAAATAATGTATTTCAAGGCTTTTCATTATTTATTTGTTTTTAAAGAGAAAATTATTTTAAAAATGCAATAACCTAAATAGGGAACTAATTAAATAGTTCCTAGCATATGTACATGCTGGAATAGTATACAACTATGTAATAGGAATGAGTTGGCTCTCTAAATATTAATATGGAAAGAGCCCTAAGGTACAGGACTAAATTAAAAAAGAAAAACTATCATTTGTTTAAGGAGGTGGAAACAATAAGAATATATTCTTGTGTTTCTGTTTCATATAGCCTGAAAATCTGCAAAAATAAACAGTTATGTCTGTAAGGCTTTTTTAAAAATATGGTATGATGGGATGTTTGAGCAGTGCAAAGATGGGGGGGGATGACTTTACTATTTACATTTTATATTAGTTGGTTATTTTAATGTTATGGAAGTATAATCTTCCTAAAATTTGGTATATTTAAATTTATGATCCAGGTTACTCTTGTCACAAGTATTGAATTAGCTTATGCTTTTATTAAATATCTATAAAATGGCATGGTTCTGTTAGTGCATAATGTTTTGGGGTACTTTTCATACTACAAAGACTAATTTACAAGTCTCAGTAGATTGGTACCTCGTCACAGTGATGTCCTCTTTTCACACTCCCTGTATTATAGCTGTGACAAAGATCCTCAGACCACCGTCATTGAAAATGGCAGAAGCCAGCGTGGCCGGTTTTCCTTTGAGGTGTTCCGATTTGTGAAACACAAGAATCAGAAAATGTCCACTGTCTTCCTGCACTGCGTTACCAAGCTCTGTAGAGCCGATGACTGCCCCTTTCTGATGCCAGTAGGTTTTGAAGCAACTTCATTCTGAATTGTTGGATTAATCTAGGCTGAAAGGTTATCATGTGGCAGGATTGAATCTCTGTGTAGCAAGTGGACATGCATTTGGTCTAATGGATTAAAGTAGGATTTATACATCCATCCAGCAAAGATCTATTGAATGTCTACTTTGTGCCAAACATTATACAGGAAATACAGGGATAAAGCATTTATGAAATCTTAATTCACTTAGCATATCTTTTAGGACCATGAGATAGAAAAAGCAAGAAAGCAGACAAATATGGGTCTCAGTAAGAGGCAGTACTCATCACTGTGACAAGACTGAGAGACAAGATTAGAAGGTCTGGTGGAGGAGATGAGCCCTAGATATGACTCTGAAGATGGATGAACCCCAGAGAGGCAAAGTCAGAGACCCTCCATAGGAAAGGAGGCTCCATATGAAAGCCACACACACTAAAACAGGGCAAGCCACCATTAAAATATAGATCCAGTTGCAAGTGAGTTAAAAAAAAAAATCTAAAATTCTCTTCTGATAGGCCCCCTAGGGTTAAAGCAATATTGGGGAGAAAAATGCAGGTAATTTTTTTAATTCAAAGTAACTTTAATATGTTTATATTTATGCTCAGTTCATGCATAAATAGGAAGCTATTTCTTTATGCACATTGATCTCTTTGGTCTCACCTAATTGTATCGGATGGAGGTAAATGGAGAGTCTGCATTACCTTGGGTCTGTGCTCACCAACATTTTAGGGAAGAATTTATTAAAGGCTTGAGAGAGATAAAAGTTAAAAAGTCTGATAAACACAGCTCTTTTTTTCAGGAGAGCCATTGAGCTATGTAAATTAATGAGGCAGCGTACAATTGCTGGGGAAGGAAATCAGAAATGTGGCCCAAGCCAGGATAAGAAACACTGTAGCAGTTATATACAAAGTAATTAAATAAATGCACAGAAGGAAATGAATAAAATTAAACATGTGGTATCTCTTCCAAAAGAATCTGCTTTCCAAATGGCCATAAAGAAACAATTTTGTGCTAGTGTGGAAATTCATTTTACTTCCTTTCATTTGTTTTCATTAACACCTCAGATTTGTGGCCACAGAGAAAGGAGAGATGCTGGGAGGAAGACAACCTGGAGCCCCCAGAGCACTTCAGGCAACGCAGTCCTCTCCGCTGGTCCCATCATTACCCGGAGTGGTAGGAGAGCACTTCCTTTCCTATGTAGTAATAGACCGTTTCTAAAATGGCTCTGTACTTGGCTTCTAAGGAGAACTCAAAGTGGTTCCTAAACAGCACTAATTAACTGGGAGACAAGATAAACTGCTAAGCAGCTTTAATTTCACAGTAGTTTCATGTTTACTCAGCTTTCACACAAAGGACAATATTGTCCTCCCTAAGTTTTTCCCTTCATATTCATTCTCTCCCTCTCTCTTTCCCTCTCCCTCTTCCTCCCCTCTCATCCCTCTCCCTCTGAATCTGTCCTACCCACCCTGTCCTGCGTGATCCATGACCTCACCTACATGGACTGCACCCACTGGCCCCTTACCATCTGGTTTCTGGTTGGGGTTCTAGAAGTGCTGTCAGCAGGTGGGTGGGCCTAGAAATGTGAAGTCCACACTGATTCTGTTAGGTCACTTCTTCTACAAAACTGCTCCCTCTGGGTTTTGCAAACCCTTCCCTTGACTCACACTCCAGGGAACTTGACTTTCTCTGTGTCTGCTCTATATCTTTGTAAACAGTCCCACTAAACACTCCTTATATTGCCCAGCTTGAGTTCTGTCTGTTTCCCTGCAGGATCCCATATATGATATACCTCACCCAGTGCACTAGTTTATTCTCATGAGTTTCTCTGAGGGAGAGGGCACAACTCTTGTATGCAGCATACATCCTCATGTGTATAGGTATTTGCACACATATCCTTACACTTTCAGCAAAGGCATATAGATTTAAGTCAGTGTGAAACCAGCCACAGCCAGATAGTTTGGATAAAATAGATGTATGGAAACAACACTGAAGTTGAAAAAACTGGTTCTGGTTCTAGCTCTGCACCCCCCCACACCCCCGCCTGCCCCATGTGTCTTAGAATTTTACTTCCTTTCTCTGGGCAAATAATAAAAAGTAGGCATCAAAGATTCATTCTACTTCAGTGGTTCCAAATTTGTCTAAAAATGGACTAATTCTGGTTCAGATTATATGCTGATAATGTGTTCTCCATTTTATATTTGCTGTACRACTGATGCTGTTTCAGTGAGATTTTCTTTTCCTTTTCCCTTATGCTGCCCACCTCACAGTAAAAAGAAAGTTTGCCCCCAATCGGCAAATAATTAAGAAAGAAGTGGATTTGGCCTAAAAAAGCTCAGGCAGTTTCTTTAATTATTCACTTCACTGTGTTTGTGTAGACATAACCTTATTTAAAAAGAAACTAATAAGCCTTTAAATAATGCAGAAGTATATTAAATTTGAAATTTTGGACTTAGTCCCTTCTCTCTGAGGCTTTGGTGTATGCTTTGAATGACTTGAAAATGACTGTTTTGGGGTTTGTTAAAGACCCAATTCTTATCTCTATCTAGCTGTAAGAAATTGTTCATAAAACTACATTGAATGAAAACTCAGTTCTTATTTCCAATAATTAGGAATGCTTTGAGGCAGGCAAAATAAAGAATATTTATATTGATGTGGAGAATAACTAGAGTCAATTTGCTAATGAGAAAAGAACCTTGAAAGCGACATGTTTTCTGTTCAGCTTGAATAGATGGCTTTTCCTTTTGCTAGCTTCTTATCTGGAACAAATTTAAGTGTTACAAAATTTGAATAATTTGTTAGTATAAGATAATTCTTAGAAAGGCTCCCCAAAATTCTAAGACTCCCAAATCCCATAAAGTTTATTGAGTAGAAATCTTTAATTCCAGCATAGCTAACCCACCATTCTGTTTTGTAGAGTTCACTTGTCTTGTGTCCACCTGCCAGAACAGCTATGCTAAAACCTCAAAGAGCTAGCACGATTCCTCCAACATCCTGCTTGGATTTCTTGCTTTCCAGCTTCTCACCTGTCTCCACCACAAGGTTGTCACCTGTTCACCAACACACTACTGTTACCTCTGAGTCCCCTCAGTTTTTTCCACTGGCAAAGCACCCAAAGGATCATGTTAAAGCCTTCTGGATCCCCTTGTGTCTTCCTTCAGTCTCCTTGGATTTATTTTTTATTAATTTGGTAAATAACAGTATATTGGTGTTATGATTTGAATGAGGTGTCCCCCAAGAGCTCATGCGTCAGTGCAGGAATATTTGCAAATGAAATTATTGGATTGTGAGAGCTGTAACCTCACATCATAGTCCATCATAATCTGAATGAATGGACTTGGTGGTAACTGTAGGCAGATGGGGAGTGGCTGGAGGGAGTGGGTCACTGGAGGTGTGCCCTGGAAAGGTTCATTGTCCTGGTGGTCCCATTACTCCTCTTGCTCTCTGTTTTCCTGGCTGCTGTGAATGAGGCCAGGGCCTTTCCTCCATGCCTGTCCATCATGATGTGCTACCTCATCTTGGGCCCAGAGCAGTGTAGTTGGCCATCTATGGCCTGAGACCTCTGAAACCATGAGCCTCAAAATAAATTTTCCTCCTTTTACTTGTTCTTATTAGTTATTTTGGTCATAGCAACTAAGCTGATTGAAACAGATGCTCTTCACTTTTGATGATCACTGTGGATTCACTGCTTAGAGGTCCATACACAACAGTGTTTATATTGTAAATCTATGGATATAATTGGATACAATTATGGACTGTATAATATCCATGCAGTTCTTTTTTTTCTAACTTGCATAAGAACATAGAATTCAGAATGTCCATCCACAGGCAAATCCTGTGTAAACTTAATGTTCATCTAATGACCAAGGTTACCCTCTTTGCTTTCTCTCACTGTATTTTTAGCTTAAGTCAGCTAGAATTTATCTCTCCAGGTCCTATGGCCAATTTCACATGGACAAGTCCAATTTCAGGCTTGATTTGCTCTCTTCAAATATCTCTAATACTTAAAAGTTTTGCTCTATTTACTCATCGAACCACGCCTTTCCCCTAGATACTGACTGAGGTCAAGTTTTCTAAGTTGTTAAGCCTTAGAACTCCTGTTTTTTTTGTTTTTTTTTTTAATGCAATCAAATCTACTTTGGTTATTTTTACCCAACAGTGTTAATACTCTTTTTAGTTTATTAAGAAAAATTCACATTTTTTAAAAAGCAAAAATTTCTGTAGTGTTCTTATTTAAATTCCAAAATATTAAAACAAACAGATTAAGTATAAAAATGCCTACTGAGTACAATTCTGATATAAACATTCAGAAAAAATAATACCTAATTATTTTTCAACATATATACCTGTGGAGAAGTCCAAACCAAATTCTTGTAGAACTGGTATCATTGAGTTTATGGGTAATTAATAATTCATATGAAGCCAGGTGTGGTGGCCCATGCCTGTAATCCCAGCAATGTGAAAGTTGATGCAAGAAGATCCAAGTTTGAGGCCAGCCTGGGCAGTTTAGCAAGACTGTCAAAATTTAAAAAAAAAATTAAAAGGTCTGGGAAATGTAACTAAGTGGTAGAGTGCCCCCAGGTTTCATCCCCCTTAACATACACACACACACATTCCTACACACACACACACACACACACACACACACACATTCACACACACACACACACTCACATAGATAAATAAATAAATAGATAGATAGATAAACAAATAAATAAAATTTATATGAGCATAAGTTCAGGGATTTTTTACTTAAAATAGATGGTTCATTTTACTACATAGGTAATTAAAAGATTTAAAACAAATAGTTTGCTAGAGATTAGAAGGGAGTGATATTTATTGTATTTTTCATTTATCTTAACTTTTTATATGAGAACAGAGAATGACACTTTGCCATATCTGGCTTTCCAACAACTATGGCATTGCTGCGATTGCTTTTCTCCTGTGAATCCTCAGATAGTATTCTTTGAAGAGCTTATTAAGCTTAGTATTCCCATCTGTTCTAATTCCAGAAGCCTTCCTGTGCTCCTTTTAGCATATATGCACTTGGCAAGACTAAGTAGGTATGAGAGAAAACTGAAGAGTGTAGTGACAAGAGGCTCCTAGGCAATGTCTACCTACCCTTTCTGGGCTGGACATGTCTCTTATTATGATGATGAAAACATTTGAGAATGTCTGAAACAGCAACCAGATGTAACAATTCCCTATGTCCGAATACAATTTCAAACCATATTCTAATACTACATTATTTGATTTTGACCATCTGCCAGTGGTTGGATGCTTTTAGTTTTTCACTTGTGAAACCTGAAGCCAGTGTGCTCATTTGACCTGTCCCAGCACACAGGAAGATTTTGTCCAAAGCATAGTCCTCGTGGGTGACATCTAGGCTATTGTTCCTATAGATGTTGACAGTAATTTGTGGAGTAGAGGAGACAGTCTGACTAGTATTAACCTCAGGATGTAGAAAACATTAGGGGACCCTGTCCAAAACACTTTTTTCTTATTTGAGACTCTTAGTAGAGAGGTGCTTTCTATTCTTTAATAACAACATTTTAAAAATAATTAAGTGAGATTTATTTTTAAAAAAGAAGAAAACTTTTAAAACAGAAATTTGGGGCATTATATAGTCTCTCCTGTTCAAGTGAAGCAGCTTATCTTGTGAAAAGAACATATAAATTTGTTGGATGAATTGATCATAGTTCATTCATTCCATATATTTCCATGAGAAGAAAGGTCTCTATAAAGTAGTGTTGGTTGGAGGTTAAGACCTTCCTGAGGGTGTCCTATAATGAATATATGTGTTATTTTTCTATTTTATCCTATTGCAAAGCAGTGTACCATTCTAAAATATCCTATGAATGAGTGCCATATTAATTTTGTACACTGTGCTTCAAGATCAGACAGCAGAACTATCATTTCTGCCAAGATTCATGTATCTGAAAAGAAATTGCATTGTAGTTTTATAAATATCTCACCAGGTTATCCCATTAATTACTTCAAATACTAATCCTGGAGTTTATAGCTTGAGGTGTTGTTTTCCATAATCAAAGATATTTTCTACAATTGGCCAATTTACATTATTTTTTAAAAAGGACTAAAATGAAGCTTTAACTTAACATATGTTTGCTTTGCCATAGACACTGTGACAGATGGAAGTCTCTTCATCTGTAAAATGGGGGTAGCAATAACATCTAAGCCTTATGGCTATCATGAGGATTAACTGTGATGACATGTGAAGTAGCATTTTATAAAATGTGTGGCATTACATATGCATTAATTGTGATAATATTTATACTTCAGAAATAAACAATCAGCTGCACACATTTTGTGGTTCAAATAACACACACAGACGCATATACACCCACATGTTAACACAAATATGAAATTAACTGGTTATATAAGCTCAAGGGTTAATAACAAAATGATTACAAATTGGACTACAAATATCAAGAAACCAAATGAAAGCGTTCATTGCATCTATTATGATGTTTGCCAAGGAAAAATGAAAAATCAACAACTTCAATCTTGTACTTAGCAGATGCAAATAAAACTACAACTTGAGCTCAGGAGTCATGTTTTCCTTTCATTTAGTTATTAAGTGTGAATTTATATTCTTGGAACTTAAAATGATGTTTTTGCAGATAATGTTGGGCAAATTGGCAATACTTAAAACAGAGTGACACTAAATAATGAATATTTCCCTATAACAGAATAACAAATGGCAGGTTATAGGGCCATAAAAAATGTAATAGCTGTTAACGGTTACTGCCCCCACTAACCTGAGTGGAAAGATAATGATGAAACAAAGTTGGCAGGAAAGAATACAACACAATATATTTTGCGATTATATTTGTATACGAAGGGCAATGGCAGGCTATGGGCTCAGGGAATAGACTGATGATGAAATGTAAAACATTTGGAACAGAAAATGGAAATGCAGAATGGTTTAAGGAGGGCTTTCATTTGTACCTTTCTGGTGCAGCCTGTGAGTGGAGGTCAAGGGAGATGTAGGTAAAAAGTTTTTATGGAGTCAGAATTAACAAAAGTAGATATTCAAAGAGACTTTGTCACTTCTCTTTCCCTTTTTCCCCCCCTCAGATGAGACTCCAACCAACAATTCACAGCTTGGTAAGATAATTAACATGTATTATAAACAAAAGGGCTATGTTTTAATTTTTTTGTGCAAAGTTACAAAACTGTAAGCTACTAAATGTAATGAGCTTTAGTTTTACAGGTTTGCTATATTTTACGTGACATTTGACTGAGGAGTTTTGAACTCATATGTGATCTGCTGGTCAATTTTAATAGCATTTTATAGTTTTGGGGGGTGTTCTTGATGGTGATATCAGCCTCTAACCCATGCAATTCTTTGGGAATTGGGTTGAATTATAGCCAAATAGATTAGAGCATAATCTAGTGTCCTGCTATTATTGTACAAGATGTTGGTGGCAGATGTTTTGCAGGTATGGATTGAGGGAACGTGAGATAGATGATATGGGGCCTCTGCAACTGTTTGTTGTTACTTGCAGGCTCCCGGGATGTGCCTCCCTTCCAGCTGAACACCGTCACCAGTGCGCTGATATCAGGAATCGTCATTCTGGGAGTCATGAGTTTTTCCCTTCTCCTGTGCTCACTGACCCTTCTACACAGAAAGGGACCCACCAGTTTGGTGTTGAATGGCATAAGAAACCCAGTCTTTGAGTAAACATGACAGGTGCAACTCTGGGAAAGCTTCACTGACTATGGTGTGTGTCTGCAGTCAGTGTTCTTCTGAGTTGAATGACAGCCAGCACTTGATATTTGTAGATGTGATAGATTACATAGTGTAGCTTACCAGCATGATGATAGTGAAATAATTTTTATTATATTTCTATTGTCACTTATAAACATGGTCAACCCTATTTTTATGGCACCAATGGACATAATGACAATAATTTTTAAATATTCAAAACTTAAATCTCACAGTATCAGTCATATTTCATTTCATTTCAATTTTCTTTTGGTTGTTGCTTTAAGAATGAAAGGTAGGTATAGAAAAAAATAAAATATATTCCATTTTTCCCTCTACACATTAAAGCCCAATGCAATGATATTAGATTTGCATATTTGATCCTAAAAATGACAGGTTTTTTTGTTTTATTTCACATAATTCCAGCTTGGGGGTATATATTAATTGGACTGTCCAATTTGGATGCCTGAGATTTAACTATTCACTTTATGACCTCCTGTGTTTGGGGCTGATTTTCATGTCTGTTAACATTCACTAAAAAATAATRCAAATGAAAAAACCAAACTCTTGGGAAATGTATTTTAACCTGGGACATTCATTTGTGTAGAAAATAATGAAAATAACTTCCAAAGGATACTAAGTGATCATATTAACTTGGAAAGGAATAGGCTATAATGAGTTTTCTCTCTTGATTCATATGAGACCATCAGCACCGTTAACTCTCTTCACAGGTAAACAATTCAGCTGTTGCAGCTGTGTTTAGAGCAGTCAGCAACCTTGCAAAGGTTATTCTTTTTGCATTTTGTTTTGTTTTCTTGTTTGCAATTCTGTGGACTGTGTGCAGATACTTGGCAACTGCTTGCAAATACTTGGCAACTGCTCTACCACTGAGCTGCACCCTCAGCCCTGCAAATGTTATTCTTAATTTAAAAATCATTACATAAGTAAATAAATCATGTTTGTGGGAAGAGGACATTGTCACCACCACATATGCTTGGAGTTCCTATAAGGGTTTCTAACCAACCATATTCTTTCCCCCCCCTAGAAACAAATAGAAAATTTACATTAAGTGTACTTTACAAAAATTTATTACAGTCTATGTGGGAAAAAGCAAGTGACCTTCCTCCAGGTTTTTTTTTAAAAATCCACTCTTTTTTAAAAATTCTTTTTTTATTTGTAGACAGACACAACACCTTTATTTTATTTATTTGTTTTTATGTGGTGCTGAGAATCAAACCCAGTGCCTCACACATGCAAGGCAAACACTCTACCAACTGAGCTACAACCCCAGCACTCCCTTCCTACCCCAGTGTTTTATGCCAGCCAAACCAAATAGTCTAGAGAGGACTTCTTTTTAAGGTATCTTCATATAGATGTCATAATTGCCATGGAATAAACAGTATTTTCCTGTAAGAGTACATGGTGAGACCATTTGATCCTTTATCAATTTTGTAAAAAATAAAAATGCCAAATTTTAAGTAGTTTACACTTTAATAAAAAAAAATCAACCTTCTATTTGTTCAAGTTATTCACACAATGAGCAAATGAAACAATTCAATGACAAAACCCAAACTTAGCATATGCAGCTACTAGAAATGCTGTGTTAACTAAATATTGCTGTAATAACTAATTTTTATTCAACATTTGTGACCCATTGTTCAGGAATTATTTTACTATGAAACATGCAAATAATTATACAACTTTAGATTTCCTTCACATGAGTATCTACACTGAGTTAACAATTAAATCAATCACCAAGTCAAAAACTACTTTTTCTCCAATTTACCTGAATATTTCAGGGCAAATGTTTATAGTATGATAATTAACTATATAATTGCCTTAACTTTTCTATTTCATGGTGTAGACACAAAATAAATGGGATCTAAAACGTCTCTGAATAATTTCTTCAATATTAAAAATGTTTAACTCACCTAAAAAGCCAATCTCTTCTTCCGTGTTACTTCAAACTATCTTTGAAGTGACTATTCTGAACTTTTATCTGTGTTAATATGATTAACTGACTCTGCTACTAATGTGACCTTATATGTACATGGATAATATTGAAATATTCTGGTAAATCTATCTCAGATAACTTAAGTGAATTGCCATTGATCTGAAGATGAAGTTCTACCAATAGGATATTATATCATTGAAGCTAGTTTGTCAGTTTGATTTTTATGCTTTGGGATGGCTACTGTTTCAGCTGTTGACCTTTTAAATCCTATACTCCATTTGATAGAACTGAATAATGGACACATATCATTTTGGAAATAACTTAAGTCTCATTTTTTTCCACCCTTTCATCAAAAATGGCAGAATCAGAACTGTAATGAGATAAACCATGTTTGTTTCACGTAGATTTAAATAAACCTGAAGTTATATGTAGTATTTAGTGAATTTTCTGGTAATTGTAGTATGACAACCTTACAAATATATGTGCAAATGTCCCTTCAGTTTTAATACCTCAAACTGTTTTTTTTTTTTTTTTTTGCACTTCAGGGGTAAGGTCTGATGACATGTAAAAGATGATTGTTTAATAAAATAATTAAAAATGAATATTTTGAAAATATTGTTTTATTAAGATATCTACTGTCAATATCCTATTTTATTTTCACAAATGTTGAGAAGATTTAGTATAAAATAAGCTGCCTATTTCAAGATTGTTGATCTCTGCAGGTAGATAAAGTCTGTCCTCTTGATACTGAGCTACATGGCCAAGGCTTATACAGCCTTACATCATCTAAAGAAAGAAACTACCCTCTCTTTGAGCTAGAGCTCAGACTCTAATGGAACCAGTAATTTTAAAACTTGGGTGGATACAGTAAACCTGGAAAGAAACATAGCTCAGCTTCTTCCCAGAGTTTCACAGCTCTCACAATAGTCCCAGCAGGATCTAGCTATCATAGGAGGGTGAGTTGAGAAATGACACAGTGTTGAGGAGAAATCCTTTGCCTGGTGTAGGGATAGATAACCCAGTCGTACAGAAGTGGGAACTACTCTGAGCACTCATATATCAGCAATTGGCTTTGGGAAGATTACAAGATCTGCTGGTTCATGGGTGGGGGTGGGGTGGCTTCTCAGTGGTGGAACATGTGAGGTCACTTTAAGAAGCTTCACAGGTAGCAGACATCAAGCAGTGAGAGCAGAGCAGGGGAAGTTGATGGGAGACACATGCTCATGAACACATATGAGGCATCATTTGGGGAATTCCCAGAGCACTTGACAGGACAGAAAGGATGAAGGTGGTCATAGATCTTTTGGGATTGATGTTCTTCAGTTATTTACAAGTCAGGGAAATAAAACCATACAAATTTGTAATTCAGAAAACAAATTAAAAAAAAAAACTTGGGTAGTAAACAAACAAATACCTGGTGTATTAGAATATATATATATATATATATATATATATATATATATATATATATATATATTAGGCTTATGTAATTATGGAGGCTAAACAGTCCCCAAATCTGCAGTTGGCAAGCTAAAGACCCAGAGGAACTGTGGTTCAAACTGGAAAGATGGCAGACCTGAGACCCAGGAAGAACTGATGTTTCAGTGAGGAAGGAGGGGTTCCCTCTTACTCACAGGAACATCAGACTTTTTGTTTTATTCAGACTTTTGATAGACTGTATATATCACACTGCTAAAAAAAAAAGCAAATAATGAATGAATAAATAAAAGTGTTACCAAATTTTTCAGTACAGTTGAATAGGTTTTATAATATTGTAATAATAGTGTAATATGTTGATATGAAGATTCATGATCAGAGTCTTAATTTACATTAACATAATAATATGGATCAAAGGAAACAAAGACAAGAGTTATGAGTAGGAGAGCAGTGATGTGTTCTGAAGTCATGCCAAATTATTCCACAACATCAGGACAGACAGGGTTCAAGTAGGCATGGTCTGAAGTACCCATTGGATCCACATCCTACAGGGTTGGCATGGAAGGTGCTTGTACCCAAGAGAAGAGAAATGATATTACCAGTGATGACACATTAGAACAATGCAAAGCATACAACAGGGTAGCAGAGATAACAAGCAAAGGTAATAGGAAAGTGATGGGGATCGGGAGGAGAACCTGCTTCTTATAACTAGCTTGCAGGCCGGAGTTCAAACCAGATTGTTGATAGCTGTTACCCACATTCCACATGATGTTAACCTGTCTCCTTCAGAGGTCTAAGGTAAGTGGAAATTGGATTTAAAAAATTTATATTTTCATACATGTAAGAATATATTGCCTGATAATTCATGGACAAACAGCATCAGTCTCTGCATATTTGAAAAACATGAAAAGAACTAAAATGGCCTTGATTAGTACCATGATTGCTGAAATAGCAAGGAAAGAATAGGTTTGGGGGTCTCTGCTCATCATACTACACACAATATTTATAAATCTCTGCTCAGTAATCTTTGTTTATAAAATGCTTTTTATTCTAGGCAGAATAAAAATGAGAACTCAGATTGCTATCTGCATAGTTCAAACCTCTAATCCCTTTACCTTAAGTATCTGGATGTTTCCTTTTTTACTTTAATTGGCACATAATTATGTCAACTCTCCTTTTCATTTCCTATGTAGAAAAGAGCAGAGCTATCATGGCATGTATCTTCAATCAAAAACAGTGTGGCCCAAATTCCTTGGTTAGATTTGATCAGTTGCATAGCTAGACTAGCATCGCCAAAAGCAGAATCTGTTACTGAGTAAGCCTGCTGGTTTGACTAATCAACTCACACTGGAAATCCAGGGAGAGTTGCAGTTAGACAATTTCATGCAACTCTTAACTCAGAGTTATACAAGTCCCGAAGCTATTTCTCCTCCTGAATGTAGTTTTGGAACTTATTTTTTAAATAGTAGTGAAAAATTGACTAAAATGAAAGCTTTCTGTAGAGCAATTATACTTGTTTAAAAGTAATATTTACTAATTGGTAATTAGACTTATTTAAAGGCTGTTGTTTTGCTCCCATGTTGGT